ACAATGGAGGGACCAACAGTTAGTGGCGAACTCGACTCGAATGGGAGTGGTTCAGGAGCGGGAGTCATGCGGGATGGGAGTGGGAGTAATTTCACCAGGAGTGGGACAGGACAGGATTTAGATTTCTACTCTGGCCCGGGATCGGGACGGGACACAATTTTTTTCTGTGGGAGTGGGACGGGAAAGGAGTGAAAATCCACTCCCGTGTCAGTCTCTATTGTGGAGTAATCATGCAGCCATAAAACAATACAGGAAAAACCATCAACAGCTCCATTCATACAGATTCCATATAGTTTTAGTTTGTCATGAGTAAAAATGCCACATGAAACTGGAACCAGGGTTTCTGTACAGACATTGTTTTAAATGATCATGAAGCCTCAGCTGTACTCCTTGAGGATTTTTGAGCAGGTACCGAACAGTTCTTTGGGAAACCAACCAGCCAGCTGGAATGCATTTCAGATGCAGTAATTTAATTTAAATCCTCCTGCAGGAACAGTGCGACTTCCAGCAAGTCAGAGTAGAGGGGGCTTTTTCGCCCAAACAATCCTGAGGACTTAAGGTGTAACTAAAACCAATTCCATCCACATTGAGGAAATTCAGTATTTCCCAGTGTTGCAACAACCCACACATTGTTCACGTTTCATGTAGCGTAGCTCAGCAATCACACCTTATCACAATATTATGAGATCTTATCTCGTAATTATGAGATAAGATTTAATAATATTGAGATCAGGATCTCATAATCACAACATCAGTATCTTGTGATTATGAGATAATCTGTCTGATTTTTTTTTCCTTTGGTGAATGTGATTCGCTTCCATAGTAATGACCTTCCTTACAATGGATGTATATATGTATCCAAATTAGACATTAAATTATTAATCACAAAGTTAAACAGTGAATTATGATCTAAATGATATAGAACAATATTTCAATTTTCTTATAGAAAAGAAAATATCCACTAAAAGACATGTTTCTGATGAAGAAGCTCCCACTTTATATCACCCAGAATGCATTGAAATTAGAAGAAAAGTTGGAATTGGTGTTAAATAACTGATAGAAGTCAAAGTATGGGATAACGTGAAAATATTCTCAAAGTGGATTTAATATTAATTTACGAAAAGAGATTGATTGGAAATTGAAAGTTGGTTTTCTTAGATTAGATTCGATTAGATTAGATTCAACTTTATTGTCATTGCGCATGTACAGGTACAAGACAACAAAATGCAGTTTATGTCCAACCAGGACATGGGTTCTACTGAATGAGTATAGAAATGAATACCATTATAAATAATGAATATAATATATAGGTCACTAGTGTTATGAACTAAATTTACAGCTTGATATGTACCGAATATAATATACAGATGCATATTACTATAAAACAAGGTTTTTATAGTTATGTACAATAGCATCACAGTCTTGTAGAAAACAGAACAGCAAAATGGTGGTAGGTGTGAGGAAGGAGAGTACAGTCTATCAGTGAGGTTTAGAGT